CGGGAGAGAGACAGAAGGGGTCCTGAGTGCATTGCAATAGTAATTACAAACAGTAAAACCACAAAGTGAGTCGAGTCTAAGGTGGGGAAATCACGGGAATTCACAAGGTGGGACAGAGATATGGCCAACCAATCAGATTAGTGCACTGGAAAAGTTGATTAAACCAGGGACAAATGGGGAAGTGAGTCAGGTAGCAGGTGGGCATACATACAGAGGCATGACCCTTCCTGTAGGGGGCTGGGATGGTAACTCCTGGCTTCCTCATGGTAATAGCAACTTTATTAGAAGATCAATTCCTGATGCTTATCCTTAGGAATCATGTGAATGCATTTGATTTACCTTTTGTCTTGAAGCCTAACCCACAGAGGGGATGTCTCTCTGCCCTACAGTTCCAAGGTATCTGACCTTCTGCACTGGCTCCTTTGAAGATGCAGCCCCGTCTGTCTGCCTAGAATGCTTCTATCTAACTCAGATGCATGAAACAAAACCACAACAGCAGCAGAAACCATGTGCTTTACTGATCTCCTGAAGGCAGCCAGTGCTGCTGTGAGCCAGGACTTCAGGAGAAGCAGAAGAAAATCCACAGCCATAGCTTGAGGTTCAGTCTAGCTTTCTCTGTGCTGTGAACTTGACAGCATCTGAAGATGCTTGTTATAGCTAGAATTATAGGGTGATCAAAATACATGCCAAGTTACTAAGTGACCTATAAGGTATGTGGAATGGGAAGAGATAAGAATTTGTGGAGGCATAGTTCAGTGGTAGAGTGCTGGGTGAGAAACTCAGCAGCACAAATAAATACATCAATAAGAATTGGTGTAATAAGAAAATTTCATCAGGAGCTGTGCTTCACTCATTTACGTGTACTTCATGGAAACTCACAGGTTTCCTAAACTTTCTCTGTTATTTTAATCCATAAGAATTACAATATTCATTTTTAAGATTAATTCATATATATACATATATATTAATTCATATACATATATGTATACACACACACATGCTCTGTAAACTTAAATCTAGTACAGTGTTTTTTGCTTAGTTAGTTATTCAGAGACCTCAAATGTTCACATTAAAAATTTACAAGAACATTAAAATCCACGCTGAGGTTGTGTGAATGTCTCCACTACCACTCAGGTCAACTTCTACCTGCACACAAAACCATCGCTCCGCTCCATGCAGGACCTTCTCTTAAGCTTACTATTATTAGTTCTGGGGAGGCCAGCATGTGAAACAAAGGTCATTTTCACTGAAAGTCAGCAGAGTGCACGTTAATTCTTGGAATGTCTGTAAAATCTCCCTAATGCTTTCTAAAATACACAAATTTTCACATTGCTAGGTTAACGATCAGTGCTGTTTTTGAAAATGCAAGTGTGTGGAAGACTTTGCTCAAGTGTACTTTAGGAACTAGGAAGGACCCCCAGGAGCAGCCACTGGAAGCAGACATGGAACTGGGATCATGGAGGAGCAGCTGTGCTCCCTTCCTGGGGCTCATCCTGTCTAGGAACTGTCATTGAGTGAACTCAGTTGGGGCATGAATTCCTCCCCTTTCTGAGTTGCCCTAATCTAGCATCAGCTTAAGTGGTTCATCAGGCAGAGGTGCTGACACTTGTGCCCGAACCATGGTTTTGCTTCTTAACATTGAAAGAACAACAACAACAAAGCATTAACACCCCCACAATACCACTGTGCTCAAACTATGCAGTTCATCAAAATATTCCCAGAGACGCTTCCATTATTTCCAAAAACGTTGCATAATAGAAGTGCAAAACAGTCCGGCCAAGTGCATAGTGGGTAAAGTAGCCCGGTGGTGGTAGATAGGTCTTGTTGAGAGTTTTGCATTTTTAACTTAAAATTTAACGATTTTATAAATATCTCAGCGTTTGGAAAAAAGATATACTTTTTTATTATTTATTTATTTGCAGTACCAGGGATTAAACTCACGACCTCGAACTTACCAGGCAGACCCTTATGCCACTGTGCTAAATCCTTGGTCCGAAGATATGCATTTTCAAAGGATGACAAACCTAAAGACCCTGTGGTGAGTCAGACCCAGCACTTAGAATTTGCAATCTTTTGGTTGTTGGAGACTGGGTCTCTCTTTGTAGTGCAGGCTGCAGTACTGGAATTCCAGGTACATACTACCACATCCCTCTGGAATTTTCCATCTTAAATTAACACTTCTTCCTTTTCTCCATCTACCCATGTGGCCTGGATCAAAATGTTAATTCAACTTTAACCTGAGTGTCTTGTGTCAAGTAGTACACTCCCGAAAGTCTGTTCAGAACAAATGATGTAGTTCATTTTCAATGTTTGCCTAAAGTTTTACTCCAGGCTTAGAGGAGTGTCTACATGTTACCGTCATGTGAAGAATTTCTGCAGTGCTGTGGCAGAGCCTGATAGTTCTGATAAATATGCTGGAAATATTGCTTTGTAGTGTACTCTATTCTTTTCCATTCCTGCACTGACAGTCTTGCTATCCACCATCACCCAGTACCCAAGAGCCATGCTGTGTTTCTCTAAACATCATTAAAGGTTGGAAGATGGAGGCGATTCAGTTATTTAGAAATGATTTTTCCTCCCATAATGGTGACATTTCCAGGGAGTCTGTTTTCCATATCAAAGTCAGTATAGGTTTTAAATGAACCTGCCACTCCCAGGCACACAGAGGAATTCTTCACCATAATGTCGTACAGGTGCTGTGTGGATGGACTGAACACTTGGGTATTTTACTTCAGAAGTAATGTGTGTGCTTAGATACCCCACTTTTTCGCATCTGGAGAGCTGCACTGTGGTATACACAGGTATTGTTTACACAGGTAGATATGTGTGTGTGAAAGCCAATATCTAGCTGCAGGGCTAGCAAAACAAGCCACGTGTTTCATTCTGTGCTGATTCAGTGGTCTTTGCTATAAGTGTACTCACATAGAAAAGGTGAAAAGCGTGTCTCAAACCGAGTGTCTTAATGTTTCAGGTACCAAAGGTCATTGGGGAACTCAGGTGCTTGGCACAGGGGTCTCCCATATGATGACATTTTTCAATTACTTTTCCCCTGGAAAAAAGAGGTTCTTATTCTTTCATACACAAATCTCTCTCTCTTTTTCCCTCTTTTCCTCTCCCCTCCCTTACTCCTTCCTGTGTCCTTCTTTTATTTTCATGACTACAATCTCTAGTGCTCCAAGGTATCAATTCAGCTCTAAGAAACCAAACTGCCATTGGTAATGATGTCTTGTAATAGAACAACCATCACTTAGTAAGTAGTTTAGGGAAAATACTACCCATCTGATGAAATAAAAGTCAATAGAATGAATCACTAAAATGTAATGCAATAAAAATAACATGCAACTAGCCGGGCGTTGTGGCTCACACCTATAATCCCAGCACTCAGGAGGCTGAGGTGGGAAGATGGTTGTGAGTTCGAGACCAGCCTGGGCTACAAAGTGAACTCGAGGCCAGTCTGAACTGCATAGTGAGACACTGTCTCAAAAAAGACAAAAAAAAAAAGCAACTCTACTACATTACTTGATATTTAGCTTAGCAGTACCAATATATTCCACAAATGCAACTCAATTTGTCAGAAAAGACAATGGCAAACACAGGAAAATTGTTCCATACATTTACGAAACAAATATTATTCTCTTGGCTTTCAACTTGCTCACAAAAGTCATTGTCCTAATATTATAGTTCATCATCCAATATGTAGTGGATTTCTATGACTATGAAACTGGGGCAAGATAATGAAAACAGAGAAGCCCATTCTGTCTTTATTCTGTCCAAATTCACACGTGTCCTATGGTTAGCACGTGCATGTCTGCGCCAGGAAAACCATGACAGGGTGGATGGACGGGTCAAATCTGCCTCCCGGGCAACGGTTTCTTTGTTTTTGCTACCTGTTTGGAAACTTCTAGCAGTGGTGACTGCCTTCTTTTATGGAGTCCTGTGGAAACAGCCTGGGAAAGGGTTACACGCGGGTGATAACACAGGCCAGATGCTGAGGTCATTTTCTCGATTCTGATAAACAGAAAGATAACGCAAACACCCCATGGGAACTGCAGGCTGCGCTGCTATTTGCTGAGTTGGTGGAGAGAAAAGAATCCTCCTTGTGTACGGGTACCATCCTCTTCTGCCTACATTCCAGTTTTGTGTTTACACTAATCCTGCATTGTTTCTCCTAACTTTGAAAATTATCTTTTGGGGCTCGCCTCCCGCGTAACCCAATGGCTTTTGTTTCCCATCTTTAGCTTACCATTTTCTCTAAACAAAAGCCAAATCATGAGCAAGTGGAAAATGCTACTCCTCTTCTATAGGAAAAGAACTCAGATCAGTTGCAAAAGATGTGAAGAGAAAGAAAAAAAGCTGTGGCTGCAAGCATGCTCCTTTTCCGTCTTTCTGCCCAGTGCTTAGAAAGACGAGCCACCTGTCACGGCCCTCGAGGGGTCTGAACACGGGCCTTTCTCCATGTGCCGTTTTCACTGAGAGCAGAAATGTCTGTGGCACACACAGATGGAGCGCGAGGGTGTTAAGAGGACGGGGTATGGTGTGGCCTTTTTCCAGCAGAAACAGGTGGTGGTTTACCAAATGTCTTCCTGGCCACTTGCCTAAGGCTGCTCAGACATCTTTCCCCACACCCACCCTTCATTCCATCCGCTTCTCTGCTGCACCCCTGAAACTATGATCGCCTGTGGTGAGGCCACAGAATCTCATTCCTGCGTGGGTTTCCAGGCACTCAGTCCCTCAAGACAGCTAATGTGTCCCCCTGAAGCCACTAGCCTCTCCCACGTCTGTCCCCAGAAAAGCTCTGTATTTCCACAAATTAAATGCAATGTGTCTATTTGTAGGGGAAAAATGTTTTCCAAAAAATAAAAGGAACAAAAACTGGAAATTTTTGCATTTTTTTTTTGTATTTGCGCAGACCATTTTAGGATTTTCAGTCTCAATAAAACACTATTAAAACAAAGAATCTATTAAAATATTTGTGCATGTACTGCTAAACAATTCTAGCATTTTTATTAAGCAATACCTTTATTATTTTTTGAATATTCTTAACAGACTGGAACAAAACATTTTTTTTTATTCAAAACAAAATATGCATACTGTACGCATGTCGCAGGGTTCCGTTTGATGCAAGGGGTAAAGTCTGTTTGAACCAAAACAAATGCCTGTGGGAATTTCATAGCTATAAAGTTAGTAAATGAATTTTTTCACTAAGAGGACCTTTTCCATGGATTTCCCTGATCCCTCAGCCACACAGCCGACTGTTCCCAAGTGCGCTTCCCGGTATCGATAGAGAACAGGAAGGAATGTAAAATGTTTTTTTTAATTATTTGTTTTGTTTGTTTGTTTTTTAAAAACAGCCCTTGTTAACTCTTCCTTCCACAGATTCTACTGTAAACTCATAAAAGCCTTTATATAGAAAGCAAACTCATATACACTCAGCAGGTGAAATGTTCTCACAAGGAAAAGAAAATATAAACAGCGATCAGACCTCTCTTTTCCCCGACTCCCTAAAGCGTTAGTGGTAGAGTTTTTGCGCAGTAATAAAAATGGCTGATCTAGTGTTTGTTTCTGTTTTTTTTTTTCCTTTTTCTTTTTTTTTTTTTTTTTTTTTTTTTTTACAAAAAGAAGATTTCCCTCTGTGATGATGCAGAATTGCATACACTTTAAACCTGGAATAATTTAAAACCCTACGTTGGGGGAAACTGGGATAACATTTTATCTATTTTTATACTGCCGAATGTCTGAGCAGTTCTAGACTCTCTTCCACCGAGATACAAGAGCGAATGGAGTCTGGATTCGTGTCCTCCATCTCTTTATTCCCATCACCATGGCCAAAATGTGCTTGTAGGAGATCACAGAGTGGAGATCAGGGGGAGCACGGCCTCACCTCCCTCTTGGGGGCACTCACCTGTTCCCACCTATGCAGGCTGGGGGCAGGGGCTGCTCCTGGCCAGCCAGCCTGCAGGAAAGGCCTGGGCCCTGTGGACATGGAGGCTGGAGCAGCTCAGTGCACGACAGCTTTTGAAAACAGCTCCTGCTTCCTTGGTGTCCTACACTCACGGATATGAGTGAGTGGCCTGGTTCCATTCCCCTGGGGCATGGGGCTGCTCAGCTGAGGGTGCCCCTGCCAGTCCCCCTGGCTCCATCCAGGTGGCGTGCACATGTGTCACCGTGGCTACACGGACTCAAGCAAGCGGATGTCTGTTTAGGGGCAAGAAGGAGACCAGGGAAGGATGGGCCAGGGTGGGTGTGAGGTCTAGGGGGAGCCTGGGGGAGTTCTTTATTTTTATTTTTTGTTCTTTTCTTTTTTTTTGTCTTTTTTACTTTTTATTCTTTTTTTTTTTCTGTTGTTGTTGTTTTTTTGCTATGCCAGGAGGACATAGCAGTAATATTCTTTAATAGAAACTGACAGGACGGACAGACAGAACTATGAGATGAACACACCATGACTAGAAAGAGAGGGATGGAGACAGTGAGAGACCTGGTTTACCTCGGAGAAAGTACCCCCACCCCCGCCAAATAAATCTTGTGTCAACAAGTGCAGAGAGAAAGGAAACCAACAAGAAACCCAGACCTGAATGAAAGCAAAGCAAACTCCCAGACATTAAAACACAGTGTATAAAATGCTGTGAGAAATCTAGCGTCAGCCAGCAGCCTTCTGGTCCCCAGAGAGCTGTGGCATGAGTGTGTCCTCCTTTGGACTTGGGCCCATCATTTTGAAATTTTATCCTAAAGACCTTGCGAGAAATAACTGGAGGGTAAAAGCACCCAGCTTCTGTTCCACGGGACAGCAGTTGTGGATCTCCGTCGGCAGGGGCCGGCTGGGGCTCTGGGTCACTCTTCGTTGGTGGAGGTGTCATCCAGCGTGGCGATGCCACCCACGCTCAGGCAGTCTGTGTTCTGCGCTGCCGAGGCCGTGAGCACTGTGTGCAGCAGAATCAGTACAAGGACACACAGCTTGAGTCTGCCACCGCACAGTCTCGGGGCGGACGACGCTGTGAACGACGTCCTGTGACAGTGGTCACTTTTCTCTACTGTCCCTTTGGGTGGGTGGGTGGATTGCTCTTCTCTCCTGATGTCACAGCATTCTGGTTCATCATTGGTTAGGAAGGTTTCATAGAGCCCTGTGGGGGAGAAACAGAGGGTTTCAAGGTAGGAAGACACAGGCAGGAGAGGTGGCCCAGGAGAGCCAAGGTTAAATTAACACCCTGACCCCCCAAATCACAGCAATTACACTGAATGTCAGGGACAAGCAATTCCCGACAGCCTGGGTAAATGGCCAACCACGGTCTCCAGCCAGTGTGGCTGTTTTTCTTGAATGTGCACGTTACACTCCTGTCAGCTGCTCCATCAACAGTCTGGTGGCTGCGCATAGAGTGAAGATTTCTCTAGGTCAAAATCAGAACGCGCGGTTCTGAGCCGACAGGGAGATCAATAATATTCACCCATCTTTTTCTTTAACCAGAGTGCAACTGATTAATACAGCATGTAAACTAACACTAATTATCAATACTAAGTGAAATAACCAACCAATCACAAGCCCACAACTAGAGGGACCCCCATTACTGTCCTTCATTTCGTCTTGCATTTCCCGTCTTGGACAGAGGGGCTTTCTGTTTATTTTGTAAGGATTTCTCCCGTTCTTCCGTTTCTCATGCTACGGATGGCTGTGCGAGACAGAGTCTTTCAGGGCTTCTGTCTGGAACGTTTCAGGAGGGTTCTTTCTGTTCACAGCCTCTCCTTCCAGTCCACCCCAAATTCGCTTTTCAATGATCACCTTTCATTATTTTGTTCTCTTGCTCTCTTTCCCCAAACTACATCTCTTCTGCCCTCCTTTCTCCCTTCTTTCTTTAAAAATACACATTGTCTTTATTTTGAAATTGAAAAGTGCATATTCTGAAACGTTCAAAGTGACAAAATGCACAAAACAACTGCTTATCTCTGCTCCCTGGGGTCTTGCACCTTGCTATAAGCATGCAGCTCTTTGAATCTCTGTGTAAATCCACGTTGCATTTTTCTCATCTTACTGAAACATTTTATCGTGGGCACTAATGTATATTTTCTCCATGAATTTTGTAATTATAGTCTCATGCTTGAGAAACAAAAACAAGGGTAGGTGTAAGAATTTAATGAAATTTCTCTAGCAGGTAGAAACAACCTCCTAGACAAATGTGGCTAGGGGTGATATTAACAGTTATCAGGGAACTTCCTTGCCTCTGTCCACATCATAAAATCGGAGGAACTTGCCTTTCTCCGCACCCTGCTCAACGTCCCATTCTTGTCGGAGCACTGGTGTATGTATTGTAGCCTAGACAATTTTCTTGCCTCCAATCTCCACCCTCACCATCCACCTAGAGCGAACCTCTCCTTCAGTGAAGCACAGAGGAAGCTTCCAGGGTAAGGACTACGCTCACGTCTAGACTCATGTCTGCTAGTAAGGTTTGCCTGACTATTCAGTATAGTAGTTACTATTGCGTTCTTTTCATTGGAATTTCACATCAATTTCCGTACTTGTCCATCAAGATAAAAGGTTGAGTTATGCATTTTCACATTCCCCTCCCCGTATATAGCAGGACGCCTGAACAAGACAGGTGTGTAATGAGCATTGAGCTCATGAATTATTCATGCAATCTACTCATTCAATAAAAAAGAATCTTTTCAATAATGCACTCTTCAATCTTCTGTTTCTTTTAAAGAAATGACCAAGATATCCTTATAATGATGCTTACAATATTCATTTCTTCTTAGGCATTCAAAGGTAAACTTCACCTTCGCCTAGGAAGAATATGGAAAGAAAAACTGAATTAATGAGGTCTGCAGCGCTGACATTTCTATCGTATGCTATTTTCTTTTGTCTTTAAGATACCTCACTAGTAGACTAATCAATTACCGGTCTATATTTTCCATTATTATATGCTACAATGAAATGAATTTATACCAAGATTATAAAATAGGAACCTAAAGGTCAATTAGATCAACATTCTACAATGTTAACAGAGATTCTCAAACAGTGTCTAAGTAGGATGCTCTTTCAAAGCTTTTCCTAAGCCGGCCTGCTAACTCACAGTCATTTCAGAAAGAACCATGAGGTTAATACTGCCCAATAATGAATCCTTCTTTTTAATAGCACAGTTGATATTTTTTCCCCTTCATCATTTTAAAAAACACTTTTATTCAGAGTTTTACATGCACATATATTAAAATTTAGATATGGTCATAAAGGTTTTTTACAAAACAAGAAAAATATTTCCTGTCCCTTCTCCATTTCAAATGCTTTCTTCTGGAAGACAATATTTTCCTCCCTTTCTGTTCCAGTTCTGGAAGTGGCAAGTTTTGTATGTTTGTGTAGATATGTTTTTTTGCTTTTAAGCATCTTATATCAACCTCCTTGTACAAGGTGGAGAAAACATTGCTCTGCCCCCTGCAGCCACTATTCTTCTCTCCAGACCCCTCCCACCCACCTCCACTACTGCATATGTATCCAAGGAAATGGGCACAGATGTGTGTTTGTTGGTCCATGTTTGCAGGGCATAATCATCGCAGTTGTGTGGGATCAGCACAGGTGCACAGTGCATTTTAATTCACTTTTGTCCCCTGCCCTCCCCCCCCCCTACCTCCTCCCTCCAAGTTCAAGGTTCGGGGCTCTGTGTCAGGAAGGCAGGAAGAAGATTTTTGGTTGCACCATGCAGTGACTCCTGGGTTTCTGGGTTACTTACTAATTCAGCCCCACCATGGAGGTGGCTATGGGGTTTCGGACTGTGCTTCCTGTTCACCCTCCCAGAGTGGTCAGTACCCTCTGGGTCCCGGTCTGCCCACCCTCTGATGCCCATGAGGGCTGCCTCAGATCTGCAGCACAGCCACCCCAGGGAACTGTTCAGCACTTCCTTCAGAGGACTTTTAAAGTTAATTTTTAAGTGCACATAAAATTAAAAGATGTACATATTTTGGCGTCCCAGGTGATGTTTCAATACATGTGTGTGTTGCACTGTTTTAAAATCTGCTTAAATATGTTTACATCCACAAATATTTATCAATCCCTATGGCAAAAAATATCAGAATCTTTAAATGTCCTAGTGCTATGTTCAGATTCAGCTTAGGAGTGAGATCACGAGGCCATTGTTTTTGTGTGCTCGGCTTATTTCACTAAACATCACCATCTGCAGTTCCAGCCACACCATCAGGATTTCATTCTTCTTTGTAGCTGAGTAATATTTCATTGCATTTAGGAACCATGCTCCCAGGAACTGTGTTTTCTTTCTCCATTCATCAGTAGACCCTTTTGTTGTTTTCATTTCCTGGCTGTTGTGAACAGTACCTCAAGGACCACAGGAGTTTGGCTGTCTCTCCACACACCCATTTCATTTCCTCTAGAGACATACGCAGTATCCACAGTGGGACTCTGGGTTATATGATATTTCTGCTTTATGCTGTTTTTCATGGCTGTGCTATTGCACACCGTGCTGACAGTGTGCAAAGTTTCCTTTGCTGCAGATCGTCACATGTATTATGCATCTTCATGACAGTAGCCATTCTAACCAGAGAGCTGATGTCACATGGTGGCTTTATTTTGCATTTTTAAAAATTCAAATACACATTTTTGTTAGCCCATGTTTGCAGTGCATGAATGCTCACAGTTGTGTGGGTTCAGCACAGGAGCATAACACACTTTAATTCACTCTTGTCCCCTGTGCTACCCTTCCCTTCTTTCTCCTCCCTCCAAAAAGCCCATGTTTTAAAGCCTCGGTGCTAACTTTGTCCTATTTTTTAGGCTTTTTTGTTTGTATGAATGTCTCCCGTTTGTTAGTTTCCACTTCAATTTCTATAGGATTTAGAGACAAACAGGAAGTCAAGTTTTGGCTTCAGCCTGCTGGATTGAAGCAAAAGTCCCATCTGTGCTTAACTGGAGCTCATTTACCTGCTGGCCAAAGTATATTTTGTTGCCATCGTGTGAACATTAATGTTACACAGTTATTTTGAAATTGATATTATTATATTTTATTTTATATTTGCAATGATAGTGGTTTCACATGAATAGAACTGAGGACTTATTTAAAACTCACCAAAATTTTAAAAAATTAACTCCACCAATTTTCAAATTGTGTTCATTTTTCCACCCTAAACTTAAAAAAAAATATGTGGGAAGTTTACTGACTTTTGAAGATTATTGTATAAGTGGACAGATAGAACTCTAAGATGAGAATTCTAAGTAACACAAAAAAATTTCAAATTTTACAGATCACCTACCAAAAGAGGCAGACTTTTGAGTACTTATATGCTTATCATTTTATCTAATCTTTTTACCTGAAAGCAAATCTTAGTAGTTAGGTTCACCATTAGCGATTTGGTAGTTGTTTGGGCTGATCAGGGTAAGACCTATAATGACAGACAAAGGCTGCTGTAGTCATGGATACATAACCTTAGCAGAATTGTATTTTCTCCTGGTTGGCCTTGTTGTGAGTCAGGCTTCTCTTCTCTTCTATGCTTGTATTCTGAACACCTAACAGCATATTTGTCTACAACAGAATAAGTTTGTAATGAGAGAAGGAAGCAGGATCGATGCTCCTTGCCAGCAGGGCAGGAGGTGATGAGTGGAGGATCAGACCATGGAGCACCTGCACTCTGCCCAAGGTCACAGCCATACAGATGTGTCTGGCCTTGGAAGCCACACTCCAGCATTCTGGATCCAACCAACCACAGTGTCTCTGGTGCTTTCCTCTCATTGCTGGGACAAAATAGCCAACACCCAAAATGAAGGAAGGAAAGGTTTATTCAGCTCACAGTTGATGGAGGTTTCAGTCCCTAATCAGCTGGCTTCAAGGCAGGGTAGCTTGGCAGAGGGGCAACACTTTGAGACAGCAGCCAGCAAAAGCAGCCAGAGCAAAAGGAGGGACAACTATCTTCTCCTCTCTTGTGCTGTACACTGGCGACCCCCAACCAGAGCAGATGTAGCACTTACACCATCTCTGTGACCTCCTCTTGCCCAGACTAAGGATGTTTACAAAGTAAGGATCCTGGCTCCCTGCTGAGTCTCTCAGTTAAACTTCTAAACTTCTCAAGTTGCCACAGAGTATCAACCATAACACAGGGACTGAAAATATTTGAAAAAAATGCGGCAGTACCAGAA